CTTTTCCTTTGTATATTAGGGGCTATAAGGTTGATATTATTGAATGAATCATCCTTTCGAACTATCAGGTTTGGTCAAAAGCAAAAAAGGATACTTTTATAATTGTATAAATCAGTGTCTGTATCTTATGGTTGAAGACCTGATCAAAATATTTATTATGAAGATAATTTTTGATTAAGAAAACTTACTTTCAGAGTTTTAATAATTCAATAAATAAGTTACCAATGTCACGTGTTTTGGCTTCCGTCAAATTGATCAGAATAAATCTATACAATTGAATTTAACATCGAAAGAAATCGATTGAAATAATCAATTTTTAAAGTCCAACAGAATCAAGAGACATATCTAAGTAGTAAACGACTGACTTTTCTAACTCATCTTTTATAAAATGGATTATCCAAAATTGTAATTAAAAATCCGATCTTGCAAACGAAGTACCTCCAGTGTTTCCGAACTTTTGACTTCATCTCTTACTTATAAGTAGATCTCAATGAGGCCAGAAAAACTCTAAAAGTGTTCATAGTTTGACTCTTCGTTCCCCAAATATAGTCAATGTTATAATGAACAAAAAAAAAAGATATTTCTTTTTTTTAAATTATCGTTTATGTATCTATGTAATACATGACACTAAGAATATGTTGAATTATGAAATTCAAAAAGTATAATAATAAAGACCCAAATAAAATGAAACAATACGTAAACCAGACACAACTTAATGTTCTTAATAGTTCATGTCGAACAGATGAAAACATAACAACTTCGAATATTATAAACAGCAGACGGAATCAGGAGTTAAACACCTCTCTTTATTACGTAGATGAAAAAGGAAAAAGTTTTGACAATATTGAAGATTTTTAGAATCAGTCTATAGATTATGTAATATTTCACATTGATAGAAGCTTTTTCTATCACTAGTTCAATTATGTTAGGAAACTTAACAATTCAGATTGAATAAAATATTATCAAGAATAAATATGACTATCATACAATAATATTTTCTAAAACCAAGCAAATCTATATATCATTTATTTAACAAGGTCAATAGTACATACCACTGCTGGACTTCGAATAAAAGAATAAATAAGAAATGAATATCATTACGAAAATAATAAAATTTCAAAAAGACTATCGTCTTATCATGCTGATTTATTACAAAGCACTTCTAAACATTAACTGATTATGTTACAAAGTTATTAAACTTATTCCAACAGATATTTTCTCATATAACAGATTTAAAATAAAGTAGAGAAATAAATCATTTTCTTCGATGATATCAAATTATAAGACTTAATTGATCTTGTCTATTTTTAAGTAACATTTCTATCTTTTTGTTTCGAATATAAAATACTTCATTTGTGAACAAAAACTTGTCGATAATAACTAAGAATACATAAATAGAACTCTAAAGATAATAATATAAAACAAAAATAGTTAAAAAGAAGTGTAAGATTTTTTTATCAAATAAATAAGAAAACATATAGAATATATTACAAATCCTATTAATTAATTAATTAATTATCATTCGAAGAGTATTACTAATCCATCTTCAAACATTTAAATATATACCAAGTACAGCAAATATAAATGAAATAGTTGTTGGTAATAGATCAATAAGAATATCGAATTAGATAAATGAGATATACTTTGCAAAAATAGAATTTTTTCGGTATGAAACCAACACTTATACCAATTGCAATAAAATTATATGAAAGGAAACAAAATACAATAGTTTAGTGGTGAATTAAAAAAGAAAAACATAATACAGAATGATGTATATAAAATGGCGGATAAAAGTTTCAAGTAATTGAATTTTCAAGTATTCCTCTCGATTGTAATAGTTAGAAAGAATGTGAAAAAAAAATAACATTTTAGTATTTAGGAGAACTCTCTATCAGAATGAATGAATCAATCTGAAAACTCCTACAAAATAGAATTTCTAGTCACTACCATTGAGAAAAAAAATCAAAATACAATAGTTCTTAATTTTTATTCACAACTATAGATGTCATTTAGAATAACAATGTATATTATAGAATAAGAAGAAAGGAAAATAGATCGATATAATCAATATTAAAACATATTTCTCTCTTCATTCATTCATTCTCTTGATGATATTTATTTTATTTTTTCACTGATAGTAATGCATCAATTTCGTCGTTCAAAGTGTAGTTCTGCTATTAGATTTTGGAATTCTAATAATTTTTTTTTTGTGTTTCAATTCTTCTTCCGTTTTGGTAAATATAGTGTGCTGACTTGTAGGATAAAGAACGATCATTGGTGGACCTTTTTCTGTAAAGTAGGATCAGATATAGAGCGAAAAAAATTCTCTGTGCATTATCTAATATATTGATAAAATTGGTATTAATTTTGCTATCAAAATAAATTTCGTAGAGATCATATTATAGTGACTGATAAATTGAATACTTTTTTATTTGAAATATAGTTCTGTAATTCGACATAAATACAAGACAAAATAGAAATAAAATAAATGATTCATGAGATAACAAACGATTTATAATTGAAATTTTAATCATCGTTCATACAAAAGAACTAGAGAGGAAAAGAAGACATCATAATAATGTTCGATAACAAGCTCGATTTACTTTTGAATAATCTTTTTTTATTCATCGATATGTGTCAAACTGATAGATCGGTTATATTTATCGATTTAGTACCGAAAATTTGCCGAATTTTATGAAACGAACACTGTGATGATATGATATATAATGATGGGCGTTGAAAGACAGATTACATCTTGCAGCCTATGTAAAAAAAATAATCAAAAATCGATTCTTAACCGATTTTTTGATTATTAAAACTGATTTTTTTTACATATTTTTTTTTACATGGGAGTATGAGGTAGAGACAAGAGAAAAATTCTAGCCTGTAAAAGGAGAAAACATTTTACTTGTCGTAAGAAGATGACAACATGTAGATAAACAATATTTTTGTCATTTTCTTTATGATAACATAAGCATTACTTATTCGTTAAATGCATTCTATACAATCTGTTAATGCTATCTAATGATCCCAAGAATGTTTAAAAAGTATTAGTTAAGAAATTTTCAATAAAGACTATCATGAGGCATCGATGATATCAAATCTATTATAATATTGCACACCGCATATAAAAAGTGTTGTTATTAAATTTCTCAAAGAAGAGAGAATTTAAAGATATGATCTATCAGACACATTCGACTAGCTTCGCTTTGTCTGACTTTCTGTTATTCAGCTATTTGAAAATATAGATTAAATATCTACTTAGATACAGTAAATTTAACTAAGCCATAGCCGAGCAATCAGTTTGACACATATCGATGAATACAAAAATATTATTCAAAAGTAAATCGAGCTTGGTATCGAACATTGGTATGATATCTTCTAATGTTTGATGTCGACAAATAAATATAATGTGCTTCTTATTGAAGAAATATTACTAGTTCTCAGAACTTTTTGACCCTCTTATGTATATAAGCTGTTGATTCTTTAATGAAAAATGTTTGGAAAACAATCTTTTGTAAAGCAGAATCTATTATTGGAACTATCAATTTTCTAAAAAAGGGTTAATTAGTATTTCTAGAAACTACACACGAAATCAATTCTTGTCGAGCTATTTGTTTAAAATATATCACATCATAGAAATGTAGCGGAAAAAAATAATTCAAAAAGTTTTTCTTACAGTTGATAAACGGTGAAGTTGTGCGTAACAAACAACTATTTAATATTTTTGTATTATAATTACTAAAAGTCAACGTAACTTTTAATACACGATTGAAAAGATCAGTTTTTATACTACAAACGTCATTATTAAATATGTTTGTTTCATTGTCGTCTAATACAAAAAACAAATTTATAGAAATTATAAAATGATGTTACTTGATGATGAAACTATAAGAATTTTTTTTTGAGAAATGTTTAGCCTTTGAGCTTTTAACACTTTTTCTAGATTCGTTCTAGAAAAAAAATCTCTGTTGCAAACTTTGTAGTTCACATATTACCCTTTCTAATAAGAAATAAATCGATTGGTTTTAGAAGTCAGCAAAGTTTAATAATTTTGGTAAAGACTTTTACAATATGTTGTTATTTCTATCCATCAAAAGCAAACATATTAATTGGTGATGTGTTTATTAAAAATATATCGTACACAGTTATATATTTTTTTCATTAAATTTATGATCAGTGACAATTTTATAATCAGAATTTGAATAATTATTTAATATTCATATTTACATTTTCCTCATCCATCTAATATGAAATCATCAATGATTAGTTTTGTTTTTTCTTTGTGAAGTAATCAAACACCTTTGAGTTTTTATTTAATGAATACTAAAAATAATTTCAAAGAAGAAATACCGTTTGATTTTTATCACGTACAATGCCTGGAACATTTGAATTATATAATAAATTTGATTTGAATCTTACACATTCTATTTGATTAAATCTCAACGGCTTAATTATAATAGGATAGATCAAATTTCTACCGATTTAATCATTCTATTATGAAAACAACTTTATTATTTTTAGAACTTCAAGTTAAAATAAATACAGAATAAAGAAAAAAAGATGGAGTAAACAAAATTTTTGAAATATTAATTTAGTCAGTACGATAGACCAATATAACTTCAATCTCTTATGAACATATAAAAGAAAATTCGAATTCTGTTTCACTTGTTTATTTCTTACATACTACTTTTTCGAATTCTTGAATGAAAGAAGTAGACAAAAAATATGATGAAATATCCAGATCAAGAACTTTGGACTGGTTCTGGCCACGGAATTTCCTCTTGCAAGTTTCTACCATTTTCTCGAATTCTTCGGCAGGTTGTCGCCGTAAACTCACAAATTCAGGCGTCTGAATCATTGATGTAGACATAGGAAAATACAGAAATCATTTTGTTTTTTGTTGTAATGAAAACATCGAATACAAGTCATTTACATATTTCATATTATGTGTTGAATAACATTAAATAAATAATAATTACATAATGATCTGTTGTTTATTATTCAATTGATTGTAAATCATATTCACTAGTGATAGCTTGAGTAATTGCTGCAACTTGATTACAACGTATTATTCTTCTACAATATATTCGCCAACATTTGTTTATAAAAACATGTTTAACTTGTCGACGAAATCGTGTTGATGATATTAAAAATAAATAAAAAGAACCCTAAAAATAATCGAAATAGATAATATAAATATATAAATTTAATATAGCGAATAATTAAAATGAAATAATGAAAAAGCTACAGTTTCAATAAATTGTTCAATGGATTTACGAATCAAACTATCTTCGAACATAAACGTAATATATGTATAAATCCGTTGTAAAACATACGGTGATGTTGTAGTGACTAAAAATCAAACTCGAACAAGAATCATTGCTGTCAATTGTTGATCAAATTTTCGTCGACGTATTGGTATTTGACGTCGTACAATACGACGAACATTTCGATAAGCTAATACACTGAACAATGTCGAAATGATAATCGGTAATACACCAGTGAGTATAAGATAATAGAAATATGTAACATAATTTCTAAAATTTTGATTATATATATTACATCCATATTTTGATTGAATTTCAAAGAAGAACACAAATGGTACACCATGTAGAAACCAAATTATAGTTGCAATAGTAGTAAGACTTTTAGCTAATTTAATTGTACTTTTTTGTCTTAAAAATGGATAATAACTTGTTGATAAACATTGATCAATAGCAACAAAACAAATTATATTAAGTGAAATAAGGGTAAAAGATTGAGTTAATAATGGTCTTAATTTACACCAAATTAATGATGTCTGTGTTAAATCATTAGCAAATCCATTGACTGCCATACGAAATGTACATGATATCATCATTTGAAATAAATCAACGATTGATTCTGCAATAAGATAAAAAGTCGATGGATTTCTGTGAAAAATTTTAAGATGAGTTAATACGAAAATATTTGAAATATGTCCAAAAATACCAGAAAATAAAATAAGAAAACTAATATAGATTGTATATTGTTGAGAAACAATAATAATTAATTCTGCTACTGATGATGATGATGACATGATAATTATAATATCGATTGTCTTGTTACAAATCCAATAAACAATGTCTTTCTTCCTTTTTTTTTCTCACTAATGAGAATTTCTTATTCGTTACAGAAAATAAAAATATCTATTGCAACAAAAAACTCTGAACTTTTTTTCTCTCGGTTATAAAAACAATGAAAAGTTACATCAGTAAAAAATATTGATTGTTTATGACCGAACAAAATCTACAACGATTCGTTAATATTTATAAATTATAGTGTATGGAAAAAATTAAAAAATATGATCATTAAGCTGAATCTTCGTTCAGCGTGAGCGACAAATAGCGCTATGATAAAAAGAGAAAATCGATTCAATCAAATAGGCATAGCTTTTTAGTATTAATAGTAGAAGTTTATTCAAAGCTTTTTTCTTTTTTTCTCATACGAAAAAGATAAGCAAATACTACTATTAAGTATTATGAAAGTAATTTTACCTGTTATTAAGTAAGAAAAATACATGTATAACGTTTCATAGATAATATTCAATTGTTATCTAAAAGAATAATAATAAGAAATCAAAACAAACTATATCGATGTGCATAGAATAAGTTTTCAAAACTAGTTAGTTAGTTTAAAAGTCAGTGATAACATAATTTCGAATTTATTAAACATGGAGTAGTGATTTTTACAAGGAAACTGATGTCCAATAGACTGCAATAATACGTCTTACTAATAGGACACGAATTTCCGCATTTAAACTGACTACTAGTTTTGAAAATTTATTCTTTATACATCCATATAGCTCATTTTGACTTCTTCTTACTCTCTTAGATGACAACTGAAAAGTATCTATGAAATTCTACACATGTTTTTTTTTTCTTACTTGACAGTAGATGAAATGTCTTTAGTAAGACGGAAAATCGAACTTGAGAGTAGTATTTGTTTCTGTCATCTATATGAGAAAAAAAAACTTTCAATAAACTTTTACTAGAAATTAAATGCTTAACTCATTCAAGCGAACTGAAACAGAGATTTAACAATTTCTTTTTTCATAGCGTTGTTTATCATTTATCCTTTATATTAGATTACTAGTTGTTAAAAACAGTAGAGCTAAAATGATCGATGTCAATAACATGTTTAATGAACATACGTTTTAAAAAGTCACGTTCCTTTTGATTTTCTAATGACTTTTTATTTTCACTTGAACGGAAATAATATTTATATATCGAAGATATTTTTGTCTCCCTAGTACTTCCACCGAATGCGAGCAATAAAAAGAAACGATTTCAATCAGACATTAAATATGTAAATATAGATATTCTTATAATTAAATACATTGGAATATCTTTATTTATTTACAGTATTTCTAGCAGGTCAAAATAATTCTATCTCAAATAGAATACGTTCAGAATATTCTTTATAAAAGTGATTTTAATTGCAAATTTGTGTCTTGATGATTATGAAAAATTATATATTCTTATTTATTATCATGGCATTAATGGGATTATTATGATTAATAAAGATATTGTCGATCTTAAGTAGTATTCTGCGTGAACGAAAACTATCATTACTTCATATACTAGCTTCTATCAACATCATATTTTACGCAATGTGAGATGATCTTAAATTAAAAATAACATTATTATTAGAGGTACATTTTAGTAAAATAAATCAATTATTATTCATACATAGAAATTTATTAATTTTAACTTAAGAGAATTATTTTCTTTATAAATTAAACAATTGAGAAAAGAAAAAAACAGGCTAGCATATCAATGAGACTGATGACAAATGAAAATATTCAAAAGAAGAAGATGATACTAATAATGCTATATGGGTTAGATAATTTGAAACATTTTTCTTTTAATCAATAAGTAATGTAAAATTCTTTGAAAGAATGGCGAAATGTATTTCTCAACAATGTAACATCGGATTAATTCCGACATCTTTTTTTTTTATTTCAAAGAGCAAAGTTCGGAGAATATTCATATTAATGTAAATAGGGGTGTGGGTGTGGATGTGACTTTAGAGAAGCCTACACTCACACCCTTCGCAGACAAACGAATCAGTTATTTAAATCATTTAACTACTTTATATTTTGTTTTTGAATTATTATCAAATCTTCTAAATAACTAGTTACATGATCATATCATACATTAATCAGTGAAGATGCAAATAAACATCGTATTGGCTATAATCTTTATTATAGCAAGATTTATCTATTATGTCCTTGATATGATTATGTTTAAAAATAAAAATGTACGTAAAATTAGTTTTAATCTTTTTTACGTCGTTTTTCTAACCCAAATACATCAATCTTACGGAAAGCATAAAAATGATGTTTTCATACGAATTAATAGGAAAACTGATTTTTTGTATCTTCACTGACGTTGATGTATCTTGATCAAAAAAAACGTTGTAGAGAATTGTTTGCTCTATCATTTTGTGTGATTCAAAGAAGATTTTATTTGCAAATTCTAGGAGCAGAAAAATTTGACTTTTGATTTTTCAGAAATTCTATCCTTCGAAAATAAAACTCACTACACAAATCACTATTTGTATTCCTATTAACAATTATGATAGTGGGGAAAAAAATTGAAAATAAACCTGGATGAACAATTTCGAGAATCACTGTATGTCTGAAGAATTCAGGATTTCGGAAAACTCGTATTTTCGAATTTTGTGCATACAGAGAACTCAGCTAGAATAATTTCTATGAAAAAATTCAAAGGTTTTGAATAAAATCTTTTCGAGATACTAGACTTTCAAAATTTAGATTCTTGTTCATGGATAGTGTTTACAATATGCATTCTTTTTTATACGCACAAAGTTTCAGATAGTTTAGTTAAATCTCAATAAGAATCCAAATTCTTTTAGAATTTTTATTAGAATACTATGTAATATCTATAGATAAAATAAATCATTGAAATCGAAAGGAGACACGTGACGAGATTATCTCATTAATATTATAAATTACAGAGATAGCAACCAAAAATTTTTATAATTATTATGCAAGTAAAATGTTTTATATTTCTTTTTTTTTTTTTTTTTTTTTGAGATTATGATACAACTTTGAAAAGATCGTATTTCTTTTGTATTAGACTTTTAAAAATATAGACTATTATGAGAATATATTAATTTTTATGATTATAGATTTGTTCATTAGATATAAGATTAACAAAATTATTTTCGACAATTTAATAAAAATTATTTTGTGATGATGAATTTTATTGAAATCATTTTAAACACTTGTATATCCATTTATTTTAATTAATTGTGCCAAATTGAAAGCCAATGTAAGAGTTAAAATCTATTAGTAATACATAGATTATATACAATTAATCATAAAAAATATCTTACCACAATACCAGCAAAAATACCAAATATAACTCCAAAGAATAAGAATAATTCAAACACAGTACTCATACTATTGTACTCTAAACTGATCATTATCATTAAATAGAAGAACCCACCAATAAAAAGAGATGTTACTATAAATAGAAGATCTCCAACCGATGCAAACTAAAATTTCAAAAGCAAAAAAAAACAAAATTATTTAAAAATCTAGTATAACATACAATCAAAATTCCAATTCGATAATATTTATAAATAACTAAAAGTCCAAATGTATAATAAAATGTTAAAATAAATAAAGGTATCGATGATTTGATTCTATTTGAAATATTATCTTCATTTTCTGTTATTACAGAATAAATAAACATAACAAGATTAATAAAGCATAAAATCTATATAAAACATTTTCATTATTAAAATTACATTAAAAAAAAAAGAAAAATTTCTGATTAATTATTTGTACTTACCCATTGAATGATAACAAGTATAAGAAGATACTTGCGAATTCGAAATAATTTCTTAATTGACACTTGTTCAGTATTTTCCTTTTCGTTTGTTAATGATATAGTTTCTGTCGTAGACGACATTGTTGTGTTATAACAAATCAATTTTTCTACACGGATGTTACCCTTAATATGTTACACAGGCATTTACTAAATGAATGATGTTTCTTTATACAATCTAACTTTATTAATAATACATGTCACAGCTGTAACTGATATGAATTGCGTCTGTTTTTGTATCATTTAATATAGTTCCACTTTTCGAGAGTGATATACAAAAAAAGAAAATACTCAATTTTTCTTTCTGCTATGTCGTTTCATACAATTCGTTCTCATATGAACCTACATACATAATATTTTGTTTGCGTTAAGTGCTTTTCTTCTCCTCATTCAATTTTGCAAAAACAAATGCAATACAAAATAAATTTATAATTGAATAGTCTGATGTGTGTACGTTAAGAATTAGTATGATTTTGAAGTTTCTCCCATCGAAGAAAGTGAATTTTCATCAAAAAATCGTCATCTTTTGTAAGACAATCAGGTTTTTTTTTAAAGATAAGACATGATTAGATAATCTACCGATTAGAGTGTGAGTATGTATTGATGCGAGTGGAAAGGTGTAGTTCTATTTTAACCCATATAATCATTACGTAAAAAAAATGCTTTCCAAAAATAAAATAAAATAAATATTAGTCTACCTCTAAATTCTACTTAATCAAGTTTCATGAGTATTATTAACTACGTAATACATTTGTGTCTATATCAGTTTAAATTTTATTGTTGTACAGCAAATATTTTAAAAACTGATTTTATGTTTGCCTCAGTCTTCAGCAGTTTTCTATCACAGTAGGAAATTAAGTTAGGTACTTTTTTTCAAGAAAAAGATCCTAGTCAAAAAAAAAATGTTTCTTTCTATTAAAATTTAGTTATTTTAATAAAAATTCTAAGTTTTATTGAGATGTTTTTGACTTCATGTCTGTCTCAGGACTAAAGAAAATTAAATCCATTGTCACGAGAGTCACTATGCTTAAATATTGTCTAAAAAAGTTGACTTTTGCAGTCAAGATGGTCACATGCCGTTGGAGACGCCACATTGAGTATTATACATATATCGATATTGTCTTAGCTTCCACCAAGAAAGAGATATAAAGCTGAATTTTTTCTTACAGCGATGTTTTTTTCCACTCGTAAATGTTAAATAAATAGTTTGAATTAGATCACAATAAAAATGATCAAATATAGTCATTGACATATATAGTAAATGATTTCTTCATATTGAGCCACAACTATTTTTCTTATTCTTTGAACATAGAAAATGCCAGATATTCAAAAAAAAAAACAAAGTAAATTAATTCACGGAAGAATCTTTGCTCCATGGAATTTATCATGTCATACATGTTTATTTTTTATATATCTTCGTTTTCAACAATCCATCAATTCACCTTAGAAAGATCAAGGTCTTATAAAAAAGAATTAAATAATAATCATCAAAAAGAAAAACAAAATTTTACAATTCCTATCTGAATAGAAAAAAAACCAACCTAATCAAATAAACCAAAAACAATAGAATGTTAAATTATTGACTGTTATAAACGACATAAATTTGATGTTTATATGAACTATTTAATATCTTTACCAAAATTCTGGATGATTACGAAGAGCATCAATCAAAGCTGTTGGTTCAAGACGTCGTTCACAAATTTCATGTACGGCCACAAATAATGGATAACTATTTAAAAAAAAATATACACGTATGTTTAATGACTTTCGATAGTCTGAAAAAAATCAGCGATAGAGACCTTTGTTCAAAGAAATTATCACTAAAAAACTCTACATTGAGGTAGCATTATTCTGTAGAAAAACTCCTGGTACTACAAAATCTCTAACCAAAGTTTTTTTTTTTCTAAACATGGCTTCAAACGATATAAATCCTTCTTCAGAATTTGATAGGATTTCTAAAAAACCTGTTTTTTTTTTCTTCGAAGTTCAATCTTACTGAAAATTCCATTCATAGATATAGTTTGTACTATAGAATTTATCCTTACGTTTTCGAATTTTTTCCTTGTATAGTTAGAAAAATATTCGTTAATTAGTTTTTCAACAAAAAGAACTTTTCAGAAAAATAACTCTTGTAAAAAAGAAAATATCAAAGGAAAGGTAGATATATGTCACTTTGTCTCAAAAAAATAATTCATATATAATATCATTTTAATTTATATCAAAATGAAAAATCTCACTGATTTGCTTGTCCTCTTTGTTTGAGCCATTGTTGAACTTCAGCTGCTGCATCAGGTCCTTGTAATTTTTGTCCATTAAGCATTTCTTCTTCAAGTATTTTAATATCTTTTCCTGTTTTAACAAATGCTGCAGCTACTTTACGATTACGACCACCATAACATGTTGTTACAAGATCAGCAACACCACATGATTCTAAAAATATATGTGGATGATGTCCTATAAATAAAAAGTATTTTATTAATTATTTTAATATAATATTTAATTTAAATCAAACCTGGAAAAAATTCTTCACAAAATTTTACCATTTCTTTTAAACCAAGACGAATAACAGCAGCTTTTGTATTATCACCATAACCTAATCCATCAGAAAATCCAGCAGCAACTGCAACAATATTTTTTAATGCACCAAGAACTTCAATAACTTCTGTATCTGGTTTAATAACAAGACGAAATTCATTTGTTTGAATAAGACTTTTAATTAATTGTCCATGTTCATAATTTCGTGAACCAATTGTTGCTTCACAAAATGATCCTCCTGCAACTTCACTTGCTATATTAGCTCCCATTAATACATAACAAGGTAATTCAAGTAATTGACTAATAACAGTTGAAAGAAGTTCAACACGTTTGTCTTGACTAACATAAAAACCCTAATAAATAAAAAAATGACAAAAAAAATTATTGAATTGAATAAACAAAAAAAACATACTTTCGAAAAAGATACAGCAAATGCAGTTTTCTTTACACGTGATTTAATTATATTACATACTCGTTCAACAAATTGATGTGGTATTACAAATAGTAATATATCAGCATCTTCTACAGCTTCAACAACATCAGAATAAGCTACCTGAATAAAATATAATTAACTTTTATTACAATTCGAGATATATAGAAGTTATGTATTGAAGATATATCTGACGATACACATAAATTAATAGAAAATTTTGTTTTTAAAAATAAATTATTTTAAAATCTCTCATAAATTTATAACAGTCAGATTGTGAGTTCTACATTTCGGTTTCTAAGGAGGTTACACTAACAAGGTTTTTTTTTTTGTATCATTCAAACTCAATGATACTTATTAAAATATGTTACAAAAGTCAATTTCGTTTTCTTTAAGATTTTCATCTTACAACATTCTGTGGCAATTTATGACCAGGTAAATACTTGATATTTTCATGTTCTTGATTAATAATTTCTGTAAGTTTTCGACCATTTATTATTTCTTCATAAACGTACATTCGAACTTCTTGTTCATATGTATTAAATTTAGCTATATTAGTTCCAACTATTTTAGCTATTGTTGAACCCCTAAATTAATAAAAATATAAATTCATATGATAATAATTTAAAAATATCTCAATACATACCAATTGCCACTGCCTACAATGGCAACACGTTTAAGTTGATCACTCATCTGAAATGAAAATTTAGAAAAGCATAAAAGAAAAAAAAAAACTTAATTGTCATTGCAGCACATATATATTAATGGGAGAAAAATTTGTCCAATTGTAAATAATTATTTAAGAAAGAAGATAAACCAAAGATAAAGATGTGCCTCGAAATAGATAAATGATGCATCAAAGCAAACAAAAAAAAATCGAGTAAAAAAAAAACTATAAATGCTTCTTCTAAAAAAAAAACTCAATCTTTTTCTCGTACAGATGGTGCTGCGTGGCAGTGTCAATGCCTATATTGTTCGAAAAAACGAAAAACATAAAACGTTTTTTAAAATCAAATGAATATATACTCAACATGTTTTGATTATTTTTTTTTTTCGATGTAAAGGTCTTGTTTTTTTATAATTAGAATTCTTCTATGTTGCTTCAATTTAATGAATGAATCTAACAATTTTGTTTTTCGCCGAAAAAACAGGGTGTGGGAATGGGTCTTCTCTAAAGTTACAGCCATACAGACACACCCAACTTCTTATAATTTGGAAATATTATCAAAAGAAAACTTCAAGATGTGTTTGAATTGTTACTTTTATTTAAAAATTCTTTCTTATTTTTTTTTTAGTTGCTGACAAAACATATTCGATAAGATCTTAGTTATAGTCACTAGATTTGAGGATAGCATACTGTCGATTTTGGGAAAGCGAAAATTGATTGAACGAAAAATAATCGAGAAATTCATAATAAAAAAAAATAAAATAAAAGGTTCAACTGAGATGAATAAATTAAAGTATTACAAAAGAAAACGGAAGACGTCATTACCAAAATGCAGATCACTACAGAGAAGCATATGAAATAGAATTTCTTTTCACAATTAAAATTGTCAGATTCACGAATTTTCATGAAATTATATCAAAATAATTCTGATCTAAATGTGAAAACAAGAAAAACAACTTCGAGAGTGCGAATGTGGGTGTGGGTGAGTGTATGATAGAGTTCAAGAAGATTTAACCCAATACCCGTACCCATTCGTTATTTTTATTTTTTCTTCCTCTTTAAATCAATTGTTCTCAAGAAAGCTCGGTATTCACTTTACTTGTACATGGTACTAACTCAAAAAATTTTAAGTACTAGAAACAGTTTATAAACTAATATTTTTTATTTTTCACACTGCTGTCGATTTTGTCAAAGAATTCTTTTTTTTATTTTTATTATAAATCTCTCGACTATTTTTCGCGTCGACCAATTTTCATAGACCCTCACATGCAGTCATCTATCCATTAATCTACACTAACTCATCCACCCATCCCTAATCATTTTTAGGTTTCGTAGACCAACACAGAAAAGTCTCATATGTTAGATGTAGACATAATTTGTGTTGGTCTGCTCATCGTATATGTTCGTAGGTGGTCATGTTTTTCACAAATACCCGTGCGGCTGTAAGCATGGATGAATACCGCTGCATAGGAATGTGGATCGAATCTTTCGAAAAGACATGAACGACGATGAAGATCTCCGATCATCCACAAATACTCATAGTGGAAAGGCTGGCATAAATAAGGTATTCATAAAAAAATATGAACCTTTTCATCATAGTCTAAGAAAACTAGAGATGGTGTACCTGAGTGGTGGCTGAAGAAAAGAGCCTGTTCCTCATTCACAGATGAACTCATTCTTACCCTCAAACACGTTTTCAAAGTTTTTCTTAGATTTTCGGATAATAGATGGAGTTCAATTACACATGTATACTCACGATCTAACGACGTGTCCTAGTCTAGAAGGTGCACGTGAAATTATATTGTAGTTTGAATAGAAACTCTGAGATCTTTTTTGTTTTGGTCATAAAATTCTTTCTTACCAGTGAATAGCGTGTATAAGATACAACAATAATGTGTGCATTTTATCTGTGCTCGGGTTTTTATAGCGTAAGTAACAAGTACATTGCTTTTTGCTCTTTCATACATCCAGAAGTTTCTGCTTGCATTTTCTTTCGATGTTTCGAACGAAGGAACAAGGAGAGAAAGAGAGCAAACCTTGAAACTATCGCAACTGCTCTCTTTCTGCCCCTATAAAGATAAAGAAACACTGCATTTGTGTGATATCAGAATATTGACATTGGTGATAGAAGTTCTATTGCAAAGAGAATTGTGTAATTGATGATAAAAAAATTCTCTCTCTTTCACCTACTTACATTCTCAATCCTGGGTTCGGACTGTTTTTGAAAAGTTCAACACATTTACTATCGGTATTCGAACATCGTAGATTGATTTCATAATACCATCAATACAATCTTACAAAAATTCAAATCTATTCGAGAAGTATTGACATAATTAGAATGTAAAATCACTACTCTTCGGCCAGTTAAAATTCAAGATTCTCAAGAGCTGTAGACTTCGGACTTTGATAAAGTTCAAGGTTGTGTGAACTGCAGATGTCAGATTGTTCCTGTCAAAGAAACTGTTATTATAGTAGAAGTCCTATAAAAAGAATCTGAGAAGAAAGACTGACAATTTTGATTTCTTTTTACTATCGTTTTTGAAATAGAAGAAACAGTCAGTAAGGGCCGAATTTTTTTGGAATCGATGCAACATGAAGTCTCCTGCATTTTGTCTTCGAGAGACAAATGTGAGAAAAGTAAACGTATCGACGAAGACAGGTTTGGGAATTCGATCATCAGAAGATTTCGAAGAGTTTTCTGTGAAACTTCCTGTGGTGACGGAACTTTCTAAGGATGACAATTCCAATCAAAAAAATCTTCTAGACTTATCGAGAACTTAGAACAATTGCAAACTTCTGGCTTCTCATGCATCTCATACTATAGAGAGTATCAAATTACCTATATCTACCGATTTTTGGTATGGTGTGACATCAAGCACGGAAACTGAAAACTTATGCCTTATAACAATATGTATCAAGGCCAGTAAAGGAGTACTGTGAATGTGATATACATGAGAAGCTAGTATGAACAATTTCAAGCTAGATTCCTGACAACAAACTGGATTTTTTTGTAGTTTTCGTTTGTGGAATTCCTCTAGTCCCCAATAAATGTAGAAGTTTTCTCTGATACCATAGTTTTGAAGGCAATTTTCATTCTTATAAAATAGAAATTTTTAAAAGCCTTTGGGCAGTGCCTAACAGCTTCATTACTCGAAATTCCTTAGAACATATATTGAACTCTTCTGATGACCAAACTCCGGAGTCTATCTTCATCCATATGTTTATTTTGCCCACATTTCGCTTTGGGATGTGAAAACTTCTATTTAAACATAGACATCATTGGCTTTTCGCATGCAATCGACTTAGGTTTATTTTGTGTGCGACTCCTGAGATAATAAAATAGATTTATTGCGCGAGACGATCGATTGAGTATGAATGGTTAAATTCTGCAGATACGTGCGGGTGTAGGTGGGCTTTTTCTTGAGCTACGTACCTTGAACAAAACTCTCACCAAACATTCTCTCACACGTTTATAACCATATCGGAACCCTGCACTCTCGTATTAGTACAAAGAATTGATAAGAAATGTGCTCCTTCATTTCAAGAGATAACATTGAATAATGTGTATGATTGTTGTGTTCTAGCACAAAAAGAACGAGTCTTCCATAACATCTTATTTCATCATAAGTCGCTTGAGTGGAGACTACATGAACGCTCATTGACAGAAAAAGAGCATTACTTGATCATTACACTAAGGCTTTAGAGCATAGCTACGTCATTTTCTTGTATTAACTTGCGGCTATCATCGAGAACATAAGTCTGCATGAACAATGTACAACAATTTTCGTCACTCCATAACAAATCCAAGAATGCAAAATGTCCCATGAACTTGGGCGTAGAGGGATGTGGGTGTAACCGTGGTTTGCTATATGACTGTGGTTCACTGTGTTGATGTATGCGTGGATGGTCACAGAGACCTCTCCTACACCATCTCACCCTGCACATTTTACTTTTCGTAGGTGTGACTGTTATCAACAAAGTCCAGAGCTGAAAGATAATCAAGTGAAGAAAAAGAGGGAAGATAAGAAAGGAGGATTGGGCACTCGATTCACCGGTGACAAAAATGCTACGTTGCAACGGAAAAATGACACTAACGTCAAAAATGGTCTATCACTAAACACTCCACACTACAAAAATTATGTGTACTATTAATTTTATATGTATCTGTTCACTCATAGCTTCTAACTACAGAAAAAATGAAAATCAATCAGAAAAATACATAATACTATAAGAAAAAATATATAAGGAAAAGAGAGTTGGCCAACGATTCGATCGGTATGAAAAATGTTCATTTTCACCGGAATTTTGACGCCCAAGTCAAAAATGCTTCTTTGAATAAAGTCACAACACCAAAAACTTATCGAATAGTTAAAACTACAAGTCATATAATACTAAAAGAAGCTATAGAAAAAATGACATCGACTAATGGAAATTGATTTCACCTTTAGAAAAACTTTCAAGATAACTATTTCTTCATAAAGACACTTATTCATCAGAAAAATGAAAATTCATAGTAAAAATGAACATTGCTATCGAAAAAACGATATCGAAAAATGATGTTCTAATTGCTCATTATAAGTACATGAATTTGATCATTGTTGACGACGCGATGGAAACAAAAGTTAAGGTGAACATAAGGAATGTACTGTCAAATACCATCATTGCAAGAGTAATCTTGAATCTATATCTTTTCCATATACAATCGTTGATGATTTTCGAAAAGAATTAATTATCAAATTCAAGAATAGATCGTTTCTTTTCACACGATCTACAGTTAAGAATGTGGATTTAATTATGGGTGCGGAGAAGATCCACGCCTACTCTTTCACCATCTCAGCCAGAATCTAAATCAATTTTAGATTAGAATTCATATTTATTTGAAGGACTGCTAGCTATATGAATCAGATAGCTAAAAACATCGAATTGTTCAATCCGTGTAAATTATATAATTAATAGTTTGATATGACTGCATCAAACTAAATGGTTGTCTGAGTCACGTGAAACTTGTCTCACTGTAGGCAACCTTATAATTATGAGAACCAGCAAAATTGATTGTAATATCAGTTCTACCGATTAGTATTGTATGAGAATGAGAAGATTGATTACTTCCAAATCCTTTTGGAGGCATACCACATTTATCTTGACAGACATTGATATTAGAGACATACACCAAGGTCTCTATCGAATAGAATGGTTTTAAACTTGTTCTCAGAGGAAGGGGCGGGAGAATAGGGAGGCGCTCAAATATGTTCTCTCGTGAGATTAACTCTTGACTGGGAAAGTGGATAAACTGACTAATCCGATTGATCCTTTTTTCTCAGACTATCTTCCAGGACGAAAGCATTTATATAAATGGTAATCACGTGTATATACACTTGACTGACTATCTTTGTTTTTTGTGGGATGTGGGGTGTGGACGTAGGTGTAGATGTGGGTGTGTGACTGTGGCTGTGGCTACGGGGTGTGAGTGTGAATAAAAAAGATAATCTGCACCCGTACCCCACATTCACACCTACACCCTACAACCACACTCAGCATCCCATACTCACACCACACCCCATCTATAGCAAAATGAGCATTGCCAATTGATTCAGCATGATCGAAAATAGCATTCATAGTAATTGGGAAAATATTTTGCATAAGGTAAAATTGACGAAAAAAACGGTCAAATGCCGTTTTTATTTGGCTCATAACTTTTAAACGAATTGAGATAAAAGTTTCGGTCTTTCGTGGATTTGTAGCTCGTCAGCTGGCGATTCTAGTCTACTCTGCAGAGTTTGAGATTTGTTCCCGTTTGATAGAGTAACAGTCTACTCTTTGGAGATGACCATGGGTCACTACTTATTTATGAAATAAATTTCAACAATTTTATATGAATCGATGCGCTGGCTAAGCCTCTATCCAATGGTGGAGGAAACCACAACTTTTTATCTTGTTCCTATCAAAAGTTATTCAAAAAATACCTACCCGCCTTTTTCTTGAAATGAGTATTAGCTCGGATAACGAATCCTGTTGATTGTCTATAGTTTTTTCTGAAAATGAAATGATCATTTTAACAAATTTTACAAAAAAAATGAAAAAACTTTATGATACATCTATTAGTAGAATAAGGGCTAAAACGGAAAAAGTTTATTCTTCTCTTTTTTCAGATCTAAACGATAGCAGCTAAGATATTCATATTCGAGATATTCATGGAGGATCCTATAGGATAGAATGGTTTTAAACTCTCTCTACATGGATACATTCAAATATGTTTCCTCGTAGGACAGATATATTGCGAGAATAAGAAAGGTGATATTCTCTATTGGACATTAGTTGTAAGTTTAGTCAAAAGTATACGGTAAAAATGCACTGTAAATTTATTTTAATTGGTAATGAATCATCGTCTAGTTTGTTAAGCACCCTTTGCCAACCATCTAGCAGCTTCTGCACCTAATTCCGATTGAGCTTTTTCTTCATAACGTTGACAATTTTCTTTCGTTAATATATGCTTCCAACTATCATTTGTGCCCCGCCTAAAAAATGAGCTTGGACCACCGATAAATGTATCATCTGGTATGAATTTATTTGCATTTATTTTCATATAATCAAAGGAACAGTGTTCTAAAATGTCATTCCATTCTGCACTTGAACGATCGACTGCAATATCCAGAAATTGAGCTATTCGTTCTATTTGACGTGGCAGATCCCTTTTAAGTTGTGAATAATGTATTAATAATACATTCGGTAAATGACGTACATTCCACCACGAACGTATGTTTTCAAAGAATGGTACAAATGGTGCACCATCTTTCTCAAGCCAACTATGAAAATATTCTACAAAAGTTGGTTGTGGACGTTGAAGTGGTGGACCAACTCGACCCGGAGAGTTATTTAAGCGATCATAAAATTCATCAGTGTAATTTGAATGATGATTGTACAAACTCCAAACCGCATCCCGTCCATCTCGACCAACAAAAATATACTTTGCTTTTGGCGAGAAAACTAGTGCACCAAGTGGTAAATGAGTTTTCAAAACTCTGCGTTGTGTCTGATTTTCTATTGCCTGCAGTAATTTTTCTTTTGATCCGTATCGGCTACTCGATGCATTCAACCGAAAATCAAGCCATAGTGACATTTTATGAACTTGAAGGTCTTCTTTACCATTGAATAATAATTGAAAGACAATTTGTTGCATCCATGTGGTACCAGACTTGGGATAAGTGGATATGATCACATCATCATTACGAAACTGAAATTCATTCCAGATTGTAGAATCACTGTGATGATCTTGCAATTCATACTCCTTTTCAGGCCAAACAATCGATGCCATTCCTACTCTTGAAATATACATATACTGTTCGTTAGTTAATTTGCGTAAATCAAAATTTCTTGCATGAGTGCTTTGTATTTTAATAAAAACTATCGAACTTATATTATCTGTTTCAAGAATAAATATTTTGTGTGTATTAGATAGGGGTGGCATTTTAATTTTACTTTAAAAGTTAATGTTTAAAGTAATATTTTAAACTTTGATACTTTATTAAAGTATTTTCAAAGTTAAAGTACCACTCCAGTATTAGACAGGAAACAAATATTTTTCCATTGTTTCTTTATATTTCTATTTGTCATATGCACAGTAGGAAAAACCTTCATTACGTCCTTCATTTTTCTTATGATAACGACTAACACCATCAATAAACGAATAGATTATACACTTGATCAAGAATATAACGTGTCACTAATGCAAAATTGGAGTCGTTTTATTTTTTGTTTACGATCGTTTACGAAAAACAAAAACGTTCCGTATACGATGCCGTTTACGAACTCCGTATTTGTTGTCTTGGGTATCCATTCACACATTGAGCGGAAGCTTGTTTTGGTTTGTCCAGTAGTAGAAAAGGAGAAGATAATCATGTGAGCTATATCTAAGAGTACAGATCTGAAGTTCTTCTAGCTAACGTGTATACCAAAGTCAAAAATTCATTAAGACTGCATAGTATTATTATGCATTTTTCGGAAAGATTCTCAAAAATAATTGATTAGGCAATGATTTCCTGTTGCATAATATAATATCAAAATACGTCTCAACTCTGGCTCGTTCGATTGATAAAAACCTCAGGTCATCAGCTGTTGCCGTTCTCAGAATATTCATCTTACACTCACCTCTACTTAATTCTGGCGTTGACAATGCATATATGGATTAGGAAAAAACAAAAAACTTAAAAAATTTGGATTACGAAAGAGGAAGTTCTCATAAAATATTTCGTTTTTTTCCTGAAAAAAGTGATTCCATTTTGAATGGATTACAATGCACGACCTTGGTAATGTTAGTCAATCCAGTGGTTAGGAGTTGTTTGAATTGCTCAAATTTATTGAATAAAATTGACTAATGCAGAGATTATTTGACGCAGTATCATTAATAAAGTCTAGATATGTCACAGACAAATACACAGTAATTCCTCAAGAATTTTAGTTGCTAATGAAAAATTTACAATGGTTATAATTTAACACAGAAAATTAACTCTCAATATGTTGTTTTGTATCTTTTTTAGTACAGCTCATCGACTTCTCTTAGAAGGTACGCATATGTAAAGAGTGGGTCAACTGTTAATCATCAAAATGACATCTATAATTGTTCATAATCGCTTATCAATAGAATACGAAAGCAAAATTTATCACATAGCACTGATGACATAAACTTCATCATGAGAATGTCGAATCGTTTACTTATAGAGCTGTTTTCAACTACCTCGAACTAGAAATTATCGTAATTATGTGATACGAAAACAAATTCTATGGATTAGAATCATGTATTTGTCATGTACAATCTTATAATAAATATAATTGATCAAAACTAGGGGTGGGAAGTTACCGTTACGTTACCAAGTAACTAGTAACTCGCAAGTTACTAGTTACCGAGTAACTAGTAACGTCGGAGTTACCAGTTACCAGGTAACTAGTAACTTCGGAGTTACTAGTTACTTTTGGTAGGTAACTTGTCTAAAAAGTGGAGATATCGCTTCCTAATGAGTGAATACCATCATTACAGTACTTATTCAGCTCACGAGTTACCGAGTAACTAGTAACGCACATAGAAGTTACTAGTTACCAAGTAACTCGTAATTTAATTGAGTGATGAATAGATGATATTCAGTCATTAGGAAGCGATATCTCGACTTTTTAGACAAGTTACCTACAAAAAGTAACTAGTAACTTCGAAGTTACTAGTTACTTGGTAACTGGTAACTCCGGCGTTACTAGTTACTCGGTAACTAGTAACTCAAAAGTTACTAGTTACCCGGTAACGTAACTCCCGGGTAACGGTAACTTCCCACCCCTAATCAAAACAACTCCTGCTCATTGCATTGAGCACCACAACCAAGATGATGAATGTGTTCAAGAAAATATAATTAGAAGAATAAACTGTCCACAAATACTTTGAAAGGCACGAAAAGTTTATGAGTAATGAGAGCACAAGAACACTAGCTAAATCACTTGCTGTGATAAAAATTTGATTACCTATATTCTGCATTGTCGTCATCAACTATCAGACTGTTTCTGTATATTCTAAGCGCAATATCAACACCTGACCAACTCAAATGGCAACGGCGAATCTTCGTACGCTCGCGCGCTAGACATCAATTTTTCTATCAACCTTAACTGTTGTCGTTCAAAATGCACTACTTGATTATTACTGAGTGACTCTTTGAAGACAGCCCGTGGCTTACATTTTCTGGCGGCACCTGAAAAATGGTATCTAACTTTCAAATGGAGTTTGAATTGTGTGAGAAATTTTGATACCTGAAATTGCATTGTAGGTCTGCGGGCATCGTGGCTTCCCATCCGTAATGATCTTTTAGTTAGATGTCGATATTTTCCTCATCGTCTCCAAACTGTCCACACTACCTCCTACATTCTTGATATTTTCAGTTAGTAGGAAGTGCAACCGAAGCCGCTTATCCCCTGCTGTTTTGTCCAGTTATTTCTGCCTTTTGTTTCACACAGACTGGCACCATATAAGGGAGAACTGGAAGCTAACTATCACCTCCCCATGCTGACTAACAATTCCTCAAATAGTGAGATGCTTAATCAACTGTGAATGCATTCAGCAGCGGTCAATAACTTTAGCTTCCTATTTTGTTCTCTCTGAAAAAAATTGTATCTATGACACAAAATCATAATGCTTCTCCATTGGATGGCCAAGCAATGTCGTACATGTAACTTAGCAACGTGTAAATGACGATCGCAGCGATTTCCTCTAAAACATAACGAACCTTTGTCGAGCGTTCAGCAGGGATCAACGATCACATTCATGTGACTACATGGAAATCGTCGTTCATATAGTAAAACTTCAAGCGTCTGGAAAACTAAATACTCTTTTGATCCGAATTCGGAGAACTAAGACTTAAATAAAATCATAGAATCTGCACACCAAAGCGGATAGTAGCATATCAAAGTGCTGCACATAGAGGAATAAGCACCAGCATCGAAGCTGGTTCTCTAGTACTTTTTACAGCACTGGTCATAAAACTAAAGTCTCAAGAACTACACACGATACCATACCATCACCGTTGAGTGTCTTTGGCTATCCTGCAGGAGAACCCATGAAGACCCACTCGCAACATACAGGCTAGCTATTGAAGACCCAAGGGTATACCCCCTATCACAGTCCTTGAGGCTCTAAGAGTACCCCACTATGGCACCTCTGGATGGTCCTAGAGTACCCTCTATAGTACTCCTGGAGGATCCAAAGAGGCAGATTTTACAATAGCATGGATGTCAGAACTCGAGAGAAAAGCGGAGTCCATTGGAGTTTCTCGAAGTTTCGGAGACCCAGAGTTTGCTGTTTCTCCCTTGGATAAACTCCATTTTTGTCGGGCTTTCATTTGGTATAAAATTCAATGTTGATATCATTTGTCGTTGAAGCTATATCCTCGGGCAAAACATTTTGGGCAACCTAGTGCATACTGACATTCTACGACAATGTCAGTACTTGAGTATTTCTTTATCATCGAATTTCTGGTAAGATCATAATGATAGTTCGATTTCTTTTTTATCGAATAACAATGGATTATGAATAATATGAGTGAAAAAAGTAACGAAGCTAATCATGTGAAATATTGGCAACATCATGGAGCCAAGACGAATAGAAATATGAAATACGTATGTGACAGTTATGAAATAGGGGATCAACTGAATCGCTGACTGATATGCACAGATGAATTGATCAACTCAAGCAATACTGGTCACCGACTTGAATTTCATATTGGACTTCGATCGTATCCAATATTAGCATCATATTAGTGTTATATATCTCAGTTTTAAAACACTTAGTTTTCCTTTTCAAAATATCATAAGAAATAGCTTACCACAGTGTCTGCTTGCTTTTGTTCTTGAATGATTCGCTTGTTATCTTTCGCTAATAACAACGATTTTATTTTCTTATCTATCTCTTTTTCTCTTTTATTGTTTTATGTAGATACTTTCCACCATGAAAACTGTTGATAACGATTGCACTTATCAAAAGTCAAACATTGAGGCTAGTAAGCACACAATGAGTGTAAGCTACTAAGGAAAAAAATTCATAATCATGTATAGAGCTTTACTTCGAATAGAGTAAAAAAAAAGCAATATTTATCTCTACACAATATGAGTTGTAAGAGTGTGTGAGTGTCAGCTGAAGACATATACGAGGAGAAAACAACTCAGACTTCGATTGTGAAAACCCATTAAGTCTCAAAAGTCTCGTGAAACCTATTAAAGTCGTCTGAAATCTCTGGAAGTCTTTTGAAGCCTTATGAAATCTAGTGAAATGGTACGGGTGTGGCTGTGGGCGTAGGTTTGAGTCTTGGTGTCGATGTGGATGTGGGTTGGTGTCAATGTCGATGTGAGTAGGTATGCGTGTTGGTGCAGATATGCCCAAGCAGATAGACATATTGATTTTTGACGTTTTTTGAACAAAAATAGCGAATTTTAGTCGATTTTTATGCGTCTTCTTCGGTTATTTCAAAAAACGCACAAAAGTTCATGTTTTTTGTTGTTTTTTTTCTACTTTTCCATTTTTTTATTCGTCTTCCTTTCTAATTTCGTCACATTTATGCAGAAAAGTGGTTAAAAAGATATTTCAATCAAAAACCGTCCATTGTATCTCAAAAATTTGAATTTTCTGATGTGGGTGTGGGTGTCAGTGGAGATGCGGATGTGGGTCTATCAAGACCACGATCACACCCACACCCACACCCACCATTACGACTTTACCTGTGGCCTCGATTCATATCAGACTGTTTCCCTTATTTCGGCACTCTCACTTAAATGGTGCTCGCAAACAGGTAACAGATTACGTAAACTAGCGCCATCTATCGTACTTAAATTATTTAAGAATATTTACTCAACTCTGACACAATCAAAAATGTGTTCGTCCCAAGACCAAAAAACTTTATCGAAAGTCTGTTGGAATTTCGTCTTCTTTCGAACAGTCATATTTATTCTGCGACAAGAACTTTCGCTGCACATTTTTATGATAAAAACTCAACATCGATTTTTTTCGAAAAAATGAATTTTTCAAGGGGCCCCTTGTATATTTTTGATTACAGTTTGTGCAGCCAAAGCCTGCAATAGTTTATGTTGGAAAAAACCGACTTTAAATGGAGGAAGAAAAACAAAATACTATCATTACATCAGTGTGACTGCTATAGATTACATCAACAATTCATGCTTGAAGTGTCCTAATTTACACTGCTTCGGTTAAAAATAGTGATATATCTTTTAAATTACTGCAACGTAAGTTCATATTAATAGCAATTGACTCATATTGATGATTCATCAACGTAGTCTTCGTTGTAATTACAAAATGCGGATGTAAAAAAATCACTATATAACAGACTCGTATATATTAATAGATAAGAGTATTGTTGCTTAAAAAATCTCACCATTAACATTGAACTGCTTGATGTCAACGCGAATATCAAAAATTTATTGAATGTATATATATATGGTTGGCAACTATTGAGCTTTGACCAACAAAACGAGTTCTGCTAAAATAATGAAAAATGAAGAAAATGGCAATCTTCATAAATTCAGAGAACATATATGTAGAATCAGTTTTGAGCGTAAAGTACAATTAGAAGCTAAGATGAGTGGGTGTGGATGTGGTTCTTTTTGCACGTCCACTACACATTCCGATACCCACATCAAACTCCTAAAATGCCTGTCTTTCAGTTCCACTTTCCTATTAAAATTAATTTCGATACAGTCTCGTGAAAATCTGTGGATCTAAAACTTTTAATTTTGAAAAAAAATTCTAGTTCATATAATCCATATATCAGAGAAACGTATGCTTCCTTTTGGTGCCTTGCAATTTGCTGGTAGCATCGTCCATTATTTTTGCATTGGTTTGGCTTTTTCGGTTCAGTAAAAGCTTTTATTAGAAAAACTTTTGTTTCTTTTTTTTTATAAGTTTCTCGCCTAATTTTTGCGTCGACCAATTTTCTTAGCAACTAATTTTCTTTCGACCAATTCTCGCACTGTCACTCTTTATCCAGTAAGAGACAAATGATTATTGCTGGGAAAAAATGAAATTACAGTGGAAATATTTCAAAGAAAAAAACTCAAATTACCCAATCTCTTTACAATAAACAAAGCATCATAAAAAGAGAATCAGCTCGCGGCAACTTTAAAGTATTCCCTACTTCCGAGAATGTTTTTATTACTCGTCAAGCTTCATTCAACAAGAAATCAATTATTCTTCTTCCTAGCTAAGGTAGTGAAAAAGCATACTTTTTCCTTCTAGATTATTTTATAATCGAAAAGATTTAATTATTTTCTTCGAATTGCTGTCAATCGTGATAGGAATGTCAGCAAACGGCAATAATAATAAATTATTCGGTGGAGTCAAAGCTGGAAATTTAGACACAATTGATAAGATATTTATTTGTAAATCCTGCAAATTGATATTACTCTATCCATGGCAGTTGTTATGTTGTGGGAAACTTTTCTGTAGATGGTGTATGAAGAAAGGATTATCCACTAAGTAACTGTTGACCTTTAAGTTTGACTATGATATTAAATATTTGTATTTAGAGAGCCATTTGTTTGCCCATACTGCAATACGATACAAAGCAAAAAAGACGTAATATATTTTGTTTATTTGTCGAATCTATATAACTTCATTAATAGGCATTGTGTGATCGAGGTGTTGAACGAGAGTTGAAGATTATTATCATCATATGCTATGCATGTCCATGGAATGGAACGTACAATGATTATTTAGTATGTAATCTAAAACACAAATATAAAAATCATATTGAGATAATTTTATTCTAGGATCATTTACAAGAACTACATGCAGATTTAGAATGTATCGATTGTCATGAACATTTTTTTGCAATAAACTCATTTGAAGAACATCGAGAAGAAGTATGTGTTCATCGATCTATACCGTGTGGATTACCCAATTGTATGAATTTGGTAATAGTCTATTTTTTTCTTTCGATCATAGTTAATAATTTTCTTGTGTAGATAAAATGGTACGATATGAAAGCACATTATCTTACTGATGAACATCAACATAAATTAATTATCATTATTTTGGAATACAATAATCCAAAACGGTATAAATTACAAATTCAGAATTATTGTGAGTTCATAAAAAAAGAATTTAATGATATTCAGGAAACGATTGCCGTTACTTTCTCAGTCTATGAAATTTTATTAAATAATTTTGCACATTTGAAAATCGAAGAACAAGAAATAAAAACAAATTTTGAAAAAAATTTTTCAAAAATAGATGAATTGAAAAAATATGACAATGAAAATGAAAAAGCTCTTAAAGAATTATCTGAATCTTACAATAGTATTCAAATACAAATAGAAAGTATTAAAAAACTTCGAGAAGAAAGTCTAATTCAGATATTAGATAATAATTCTACGACAACTCTTCGTTTCAATTATCCTAACATATCATCATTTTCATTTCAATCAATAAAATTTAGAACTTCACAATATGGCCATACATTTAGCCTTCGTGCATGTTCAACAATTGACTCACAACAAAAATACTTATCGATCTTTCTTACTTTACATAATGGAGAGTACAGTAATCTTATTCCTTATCCATTTTTGTATACTATTTATCTTACTTTATGGGATCAATCAAATCAACAAAAGCATATTGAATATGTCTTAAAACCTAATCCAAACTCAACTGCATTTATTCGACCGACGAGCGAAAAGAACGACGAATTTGGTATAATGAAGTTTTGTTCACTTGAATATCTTACAGATCCAAAAAGTATTTATGTAAGAGATGGAGCATTTTTTATTCGAGTGTTCGTCGATTTTTTGAATACTGGACAAAATCCATTTCAATCAAAAGACAACGACGACGACGACAATGTTGCAATAATGTCTACAACAAAGATGATGACAGAATAGCTTCGACTTCATTAATACTCATCTTCTCGTACAACTCATTTCAGTTATTGCATTATAAACCAGAATATATATGTAAAATAAATTTGAACACCGTTGCTAAGCTATAATTTTTAATACTAGTGTTTTTGACTTTGACTATCCAATAAAAAAGTAATGTCAATGTGTAAATACAGATATACCCTAAAAGTTTTCAGATTCATTTTTAAAATATTTTATTCAATCCTTTATTATATTTATGAATGATAAAATTCGATATCAATCAACAATACAATTTGCAACTTATTTGTACATCAACGGATAATAGTCATTTATAAGCACATAGTTAGTTTCAAACTTTTAGATAGTTTACCTTAAATATGACTGCCATCAAGTTTCTTATTTGAAGTTATTCATTGTTATCTAGAAAATGAGTTTGTTATATTTCAATATTATTTTTGGTATATTAAGTTTTCATAGCGAGAAATATTAAGGGTATCCCCCCACCATTTCCGGAGTTTCTAGAGAATGGTTCATCAGAAAAATTAAAAATTTTCGGAAAAGATAGGTTTTCACTAATAAAGTTGTGCTAAACTCAAAGTTTCCTAGTGCTAGATATTGGACTCACAATAAAAAACGCTTGGTTTTTTTTTTTACTAGGACATATTTTGTAACAGCTGTGAAAAGTCACTAGTGTATGTGAAGTAAAAGTTTCAGGTCGATCCTACTTACCATATAGATGAAACGGAAGTGCATCAGTATTTTCTTTTCTTGATTTAGAATTTAAATTTGAGAAAAATACCACTGCGCATTCAATGAACTAATTTCCAACGTTGACAAAATATTTTTTCTTTATTGTCTACGACATGTCTATAATCAGAGAAAAAAAAGCATATCGAATGAAATTCATCTCCTATTTTTACTTCTATTTTTTGAACAGAGTACAAAGAATAGATGTAAGAGGATGGAAAACCATTGTCAGATTGTAAACAAGATGTAGTATTTTATTTTGTTGATCTCACATTTTATTCGATATATGATTAAAAAAACAATAATCGTGACTCATAACTAGCAACTCATTCGAAAGTAATTTTGACCAATCATTTGTGATATTCATGATCACTACCACTATAATGTTCTTTCGTCAGTAATGGAAGAAAAGAAATTAACGAAAGGCTTGAAAAATTAGGAATAAATTATTCCGAAGATACTCACTTCGCAACAAGCGATTAACAATAGTCTTGAATATAATAAGTAACATTTACGGGAAAAAAAAAGTAAGCCCGAAGTCGAACGATGTCACACGCATCTCAGCATGAAAACGTTAAAATTGAATTTGTTGCGATAGGGGTTCTCAACAATCATTCTTTTCAAAATCGAAATGCTGTCAAAATAAGTCTTTTTTTTTGCATATTGATAGAGAACACTTCGAAGTATATATATATATATCGATGAAAAAGAAAAATCGAAAAAATTTTGATTTTCATGTCCTAAAAAAGAGGAGAGCACCTTGAAATAAAGATTAATACCGAATAGAAAACATTTAATTGTCCTCATCTAAAATATAAAGCACATGTCGACTTTATTTCATATTTCTTACGTGACATTGATGCATAAATAGAGTATAGAAAAATAAACTTGTAAGAGAACATGTAATTAAAAGCGAAAAATGAGTGGTGCAACCAAATATGGACTAGAGGAGGATCAATTTCTACCTCTTCCTTACAAACGGTCAAATTCCACTTGAGAGTGTAGATCTTCTCTTTACTCACACTCTCTCTGATTTTACATTGAAATCATTGTTACGAAAACTTTGTCTAATCGAACAGAATCAAACTCAATTTATACAATAAAACAAAGTAATATGTTTTCATAGTCGAATATCAAAGTTTGAGATCAATTATTATTTTATACTATGATCAAAGTCTCAATTCATACATTACTATCTTTAATGTAGGATGCGAGAGGTCATGACAATATTTATATGTATAACAACTATTTTAATTCTATGATTTTTTTTTCTTTAAATATGAATAAATAAATGATAATTAGTTTTCATAAGAGATTTTTTATTTTAGAGAACAAAAAAAAAAAACAAGAAAGATCATGATGAGTTGATATTGCAGTATTCAAACATCTTTATTTAAGACTTGATCACATCGGTATAGTCTAATGTTACGATAAGAGACCTTCAATTTCTCAATTTGAGATCAAGTTTCAATGTCAGTTATATATTTTTTTTTCTCTTTTGATTACTCAGTGGATAAAGAACGAAACCAACAATAACTTACAAATATTTGAATAGCAACATTTCTTTTCTTATTGTGTATTCGAACTTATCAAATACTTTCTATCTTGAATCTTTTTATTATTTCCATTAACATAATATATTTATATAGGAAATTGGTTGTACTAAAATATGTTTTAAAGTTCTTAATTTCTAATTTTTGATTTAAGAAAGAATAAAGCATATTTTATTTTCAACATATAATTTTAAATAAAACAAAATTCAACATCTTTTAAACTACAACCAAAACTTGAAAAATTGATTAGACAAATGAAATAATAAATCAGAAAATAACATCATTTTTTTCTGCTCAATTATTTACTTTGAGTATTATTAGAAAAGTTTATAATTCCATATGAATATTCTAACTTAAACAAATGATATAAAAAAAAAACTAGAATTTAACAATTAGAAATAAAATATTTAAATACATAATGAAATAATAGCATTATGGGAGAGAAGCTGCTACTTTCATTCAGTATTATGAGAAATATGAATATCCATTTTCTAGCAATGATATTCTCATTTCGTTATTCAACTTTTATAGAACATTGACTTTTCCTTATCGCTACAATAGATAAAATCGGAGAACATTTGACTAGAATATAATAGATAATTGTAGCATAGAATTATTAGTCTATGCATTTTCTTATCACAATGAAATTTTTACAATACTTTGCTCTTTCTCAGAACAAATTAATAAATGAAATGAGTGTCGATTTTCTCATTGAAGTAATAGATACTTTTAATCTATCATGATGATTATTCGGCATATGACATTACACTTTATCTTCTAAAAGAGAAAAAAAATATTTGAGCAAAACGCTCATAACTACAGCACGCCAAATATTTGCAAATAAAAGTATTATGTAATGTGAATAACAATTGAATCAGTATTGAATGTCTTGAGATGATTCAAATTATTTGAACAAATGGATAATTGTTTTTTTGATAATAATTAATCAAAACGTATTTGAATTGTCTTTATCCAAAAAAATAAAATAAAATAAAACAAGTTTTTCTCATCGGATAGTTTAGAATCAGACTTCAAAGTTAAAAAAAATGAATACTTTAATTGTTAATGAAAGAAAGATAATTATATTCGAAAAAATAAAATCTTTTCTTTAGATTTGAGGAAAACATTTTTTTTGTGCCTTTAACATACATAAGTTTTCAACCATTTCAATAACGATAAATAACAAGATGACTCTTAAGTTTCACTCAAAGTGCGAAATTGATGCAAAGTACGCATTGAAAATTGGTTGTTGATGTGAGTAATGGATGTAACTGCTTTTCTCACTTATGGATACGTATACCAGCACTATCACCCACTTTCAACAATATCTACATTCACATCCTTTTAGTATTTTTGATCTTACAGTGATGTATGAAATTTTCTCAAAATAAATTAAGTTGAAATCGAGAGAACGAATATTTTTGTTCACATGGATATAGTTGAAGAATAAAATAACATGTTTTTATGTGAAAAAAGAATGACATACTGAAAAACTCGATTTAACCATAGTTGGTATTACTCATCATCAAAACTTAATTTTTCTCAATTTTAAATGCAATATTTATGATCAGAGTAAAGGTACGGCTTCTAGTACCTAAAGTTTTTGAAAATCCTGAAGATACAAAAGAGTCAAAAAAATTATATCAAAATGACGAAAGACTAACTCACAGAAAATACTTCTAATAACTGCTAGACAGTTTAGCAATCGGAAAAATCGTGGATAAAAAGCAACTTTATTGCAATAACTCCTTTGTTAATAACAAGTTTTTTCATTGTGATACTAAAAAAAAATCAATTATGCACTACTTCCAGCGATATTCGAACATCGAATATATTCTCGGTCTTTGATAAAGTACTGGCTGCAACTATTCTACCATTTAGGAGTAATTTACTACAAATGGTCTTTGTGTAATTATATATTAGAAAATAACATAAATAAGAGCGGTGCTTGAACGGCTGAGAAGAGTCCGGTATGACTGAAGAAAAAAAAGCTTGTTCGATAATAGTTTTCATGTTGTATGTGAAAAAAATAATTGTAATATGACCATTTACATTGAAAACTTTCTCCTTTTCAAAATGATATACAAAGGTTGAGGATACACATTTCTTTCATTGCATACGTGGTGATCAGACGCTTTTTTCCCGTTCTTCTCTGTTACAAGGGAAGAGGCAAATAAAGACTTTTTTTTGCCTTCTAATCTTTCTTTTGTTAAAATGAGTTCGATTATGAGCTCTCGAAAATATAAAAGAAATAGTGCTTTCAATGAACATCGAATTGATACTATTGATGGCAATGTGTTAGCAGTCGAAGATATTAACCGATATATAAATGATCTTCGTCGTGAACCAATATCATTAGTAGATACAACAACAAGTACAAGATTATATAAAGGACAACTAATTTAAATTCTTGAATACAAAGGGCAACTTTTTGTTCCTTTACAGGAAGATTATTTCACACAAAATAAATTAAATAAACAAGTTTACAAAGATGGTCATCATATAAAACCAGTGACCAACTTAATTAAACCCAGGAGCAAAGGAAAGAAATCAGAAAAGATGAAGCATCGGATGAGAAGGACACCAAATATTTTCTAAGAGAAAATTTTTTTCGAAAAATTGGTACGAGATATCCCTCACAGATAATTTCGCGCGAATTTTTTTTTAAACGTTTTTAAATGTCCATCTACTATTCATCATAAGATAGGGTACAAGGTCGAAAAAAATCGTGTCTCACAATACTCTACACCTTTATTGTCTATTCTTATCTGTCATTCGTTCTCGTCTTCTTCTGTGTGAATGCATATTTGCTCTCTTTTTCTTTCTCCCTCATATGTTCCAACGTGTATGATGCATGTAGTCATTCATTTTAATCAGTAGCGTCTACAGTGCGAGTGAAGTATGCTCTATTACGACTAGTGATAGCTATTAGTTGAAAGTTTAAGAGTTCGTCCCTTTTTTGCAGATCCTTTTGTTTTTCAATGATGATTGCTTTGTTTCCATTAGGAGTTAAAGCTAATGAAGTAGTCTTCCCATGTAAAACAAGGAGTAAAAAAACCACTATTAAGAAGTACTTTCAATAGATTTTTTTTGAAAGCACTTGATAGTCATGTTTTTGGGTCAAAATTTTTATATGGATTGATAGTGTCAACCGCTTGATCATTCTTTTGTATAATGAAAAATTCGTATCCTATGCCTTAGAACTATTCTCAATGGCATCAATCATAGCCTTCTTCTCTCATTTATGGGTTCGCATTCAAGTGACTCTTCTTCGTCTTATTGTCTCGATTCACTTCTTCTACCTGAAACACAAACGTGGAATCCATTTACCCAAACCCTCTCTGATCGAATCCATCCGTGCTGAAGATCATTCAATTCGTTCTCTGGTCTACTTACCTCCAAACTACTCCATCAATTCAACACCTTATCCACTTCACATTGATTTTCATGGAGGTATAGTCTTTCTATCTCTCGCTTTTTTTTTTCATTACTAGTACAATGCATTTCTCTAAACAGGTGGCTTCATCTTTGGTCGACCAGAAGACAATGCTGAATTCTGTGATTATATTGCACGCAAAGTGAACTGCATTGTTGCAAGCCTGAGCTACCGACTGGCACCTGAGCATCCTTTCCCAGCCGCCATTCATGATGCCAAAGCCGGTGTTGAATATTATCTCTCTTCGGCATCTGATCTCAATATTGATAAAACGAAAATTTCGATCGGTGGTTTTTCGGCTGGTGGAAATTTGGCCATCGTTACGTCTTCTCTCATTCGAAACGTATGTGCGCTGATTTCATTCTATCCTAGAACTAACTTCACCATTCCTCTTGAAAGCAAGAGATCGCCTGGTCCAGATGTAACAAAATATTTGATTCCTTTGAGTAGGAAGGCTTACGTGCCTCCAGAAACGGACTTGAAGAATCCATTATTGAGTCCCGTGTTCGCGGATTCAGAGACGTTGCCAAAACTTATTTTGGTGGTGACTGCTGAGTACGACACCAATTGTGCGGAAGGTGAAGCTTTTGCACAAAAGATGCAAAGCAAAGGAAAAAATGTATTGTTATGGAGAGCAGAGAAATGCGTTCATGCTTGGGATTTCATGGATGGAAGTGCATACGAAAACAAGAAAAGAAAATGGGAGGCATATGAAATGAGCGTGAACATGTTAAAAAAAGCTTATTATGGAACAAATTGTTATGAAGAATATAAACCATCTTATGTCCTTGGAATGACTTAATTAAATGAAAAAAATGTACATCATCAATATGAGTTGCTAAATAAAACGAGATGTCTCCAAGCTCAAATGATCAAATCGTTGATGAGATAATGTCAAAATAATAAACACACCCTCAAGATAGCAATTTTTAGGGATTAAAATAGATTCTTTGTTTTTATTTGATTACGGTGGGACTTAATCATTTATTTAAGGTAATGAAATCGAAAAATGAATTTTTTTTCTCTAATGGCCTAGAGTAGTTCTGTGACGAACCTTTTTTTCCATAATTATGAAATGCATAACACTAGCATCTTATAATAAGAAACATATTAAATCTTACAGTAAGATATTTGTATGATTCTGTAAGGTTATACAGTATGTGTCTTACGACATCCAATTGCCGATACAATCTTTGAGGATATTATACGATCTGCAGGCAATTTTTTCACCTGAGATTTGACCATTTAGAGACTGAAACGATTGAAGTTGTTTCAATGAAAATTGATAAGTGAAATTGTGTATTTTCAATTAAAAGTGATGTCTTTCAGTATTTGTTACGAAATTGGCTAGTATTAGTCAAAACTTCGCGATCATACCTATCATACGAACTAAAATATTAGTTGATTAGTTGCACGGCAAACTTTTAGGGCATCTTGTATGAACGATCAGTTTTAAAAATTATGCTTCAGTGAATGTATTTTTCTTGAATTTGTTGATGTTTTTTAATTTTGACTAAGTGGTTGCGAAACTGAAACGATACGTGTTTGTTTAAGATTTCGAATCTATAAAGCAATCGGAATAATGAATTATGAGAGAATTTTTAATACTACAGTTAAACTATCATATACATTCACAATAGTTGTTGATATGTAAAGTATATCAGAATTTTGAACATATAAACAAGTACAATACGAAGGACGACATTGTTCAATATACTTCTCATACGAATAATTGATATACTAATTATTAACAAATAATCGATCGACCATTTTTTAAACTGTCTCATGTTTATTTTCGAGAAATTTTTGATAATAAAGATAAATTAAATATTGTAAAATTATCATTTAATGAGTGTTGTCCAATAAAATTTAATATCAAATTCAAACACGGTTGATTGTGTAAACATTCTTCCAATGATGATTTTAATATTGATTCAAGTGAATAATAACCAATTAATAAACCATTTAATGTTGAATTTAAATTATCAATGATGTTGCTAGTTGTAAACATTTGGATGAAGTAGAAGTATGTAAGGTTGATATTGACAATCTCTTGTGCTTGCTTGCATAATGATGAAAGAATTCGAAATTGAGCCGAAGTCGTAGCACGAAAATTATGTTGTTGGTCGAAAAATTTCCGTCGACACGACACTTCGCTGACAAAGCACTTCATTGATAAGCTCAGGTAGATATCTGCTTTTCGTCGAAAGTATTTTCTTGGCTATGGAGAGCACTTCAAATTTAAAGGTGAGGTAAGTGTGACGGTGAGGGTAAGAGCCATGCAAGGCACTCCAAGTGTGAGGACAAGGGCACTACAAACGTGAGTGTGAGAGAAAATTCATTGTCCTCTTAACTCTGAATAGTTCCGTAGAAGAATTGAAGAATTTGAAATTGTCTCGAAGGGCTACGAACCTTTCCTTGAAGTACTTTTCGACGAAAAGTATGTGATTCTATTCAATGGTGCCCTGAAATTCTTCCATCATTGCCAAAGGAACAAAGTTAAATAGGAGATATTTTTCATCTTATCTCCGGACTGTGAGAGAGATAAGAAGAAGAAAATAATTCACTTTCGACGAAATGCTTTTCTACAAAAATATTTCCATAAAAATTTTTCAACAAAGTTACTTCGACGAAAAATCTGTCGACTAAAGTGTCGTGCGACAAACAACATAGCATTCCGTTACACCTACATCAAATAAATGTTCAATCCATTGTTGACCAACAAAACTTGACGAACAAATTTGATGATAAAATAGATCAAGTTCTATAAATTGTTTATATATCCACCTTCAAATCTTTTAATTTGGTGGTAAAAGTTCAGAGCTTTATTGTGAAATTCAGATTATTGATCACATGATCAGTCAGTCCTCTTGTCCCCGACACTGTTTAAAAAAAACGGAGAGTTATAAACGCTTGAAAGGGTTGATGAAAGTGCAACGTATCAAAACGCTTTTCTACCGTTTATGAAAGGATCATGAACCATTCGAGAAACTCTTTAAAAGGGAAATATTAAGAGGTTTATGAACTTCAAATATTCGTCTTAAAAAGTTTCTGAAAGGATTCATAAGATTCATAAATCTTTAAAGAGTTTACTATATATTCGGCTTTCATAAATTCATCGTGAAAGTTCATGAGCTAGGTGAACCTCTACAAATACTCTTCAGGTGTAGATGAGATTGTAGGTATTGCTGTCGGAATGTAAGGAATGATTATCCATATCCTAGACTATGCAAAGAAAAGATTTTGGCGAGTGTCCTGCGGCCTAGAAAGATGTAAAGCACGATGGAGTCTCTTTAGTTGTGCATTACAACTTTCTCTGATGATATTCAGCACAATCGATAGCAAGCTCAAAGGGGCAGCATGACAAAACATTTATCAAGGTCTGTGACAGAAGTCAAATGATTATATTCCAAGAAACAAAAAAATTAACTTTTGAGACTCCGAAATTTCTTAACCACTTAAAATTTAGATATGATTTGAAAACCAGAACGCACGAAGCTCAAACATCAATTAAATCCAAACCAGTATGTGGATATGTCTATCACGCCTATGTGACAGCACTCAAAAAGGTCATATATAAGAGAAAAAATACCGGTTATTTTGGTTTTTAGAATTTCAAATGTAGAAGTCCATTAAGTATTCAAACGTTTAAGGTTCAAAGCCTTAAAATAGGACTGACGAAACCACACAAAGAATCTTATGATGATGGTCCACGAGGCAGAGTGTAAACTTGAGAATAAGTGATGACGTAATGAGTACAGGATTCCTTACATGAATTTAGTTGTCTATGTATAGAAAGTTATTCGGGAATAAGATGTGAAATTGTTAATAATCTTATTGATATAACGATTGGTAAAATACTAATAACAACTGAATCATCTATGCTTATACATTTTACTGGAAAATTCAAAGATAAAGAACATGAAGGAAGGATTATTTCTCATGCAAATAACAAAAAAGTTTTTATGTTGTTATTTTTTTCCTTATTTGAGTAACGTCTACAGAAGATATACCATGAAGGTTTCGTGACAACAAAAAATCTATTTAAATATGCAAATTTTCGACACCTTGATTATTTCGTAAAAATCAGAGCAACAACAACACCAATAATCGAACTAAATTAATAAAAAAAAACAAATCCTGGTATATTTGAATTCGACAAGATCTCCTATCGATTATGGCATATCGTCTTCGATCTTCTTTTGAGGTTGATGACTTTATTGTCCGAGATAATAATAGGATCACTGCACTTAATTATCATTACAGAACAAGTGATGGATATTCCAGGACGGTAACGGTGACTCGACAAGCTTATGAAAATATAGCAAATACAATGCAACATCAACAGTACCATTTGACGCATACTCCAAGGTTGTCAGAGTATTCATGACGGGTCCTCATGCAGCGGCTGACATACCTGAAGCATTTCATATTTTAGATAGAGATCGTTCTGGAACAATCGATTTAACGGAATTAACTAGGTTTGCGTCTATTTACTTACCAAACGCTACGCCATCCAAGCTTCTTAGTTATATTCGAAGAGTTGACCGAAATGCAGATGATAAACTGAATTTACTTCACTGATAATGAGCGGTATTGTGCATGATCTTGTATTTGGATAAGCCTAAGACATCTACGTTCTTGAAAGATAAACGATTAATTGCGATACACTACAAGAATGTTCATGCGCCTGAACGCGATTGATCTTCAATTTTTTTTGCTAATTTTTGATGATTTTTTGTAATGAATCGTGTTTTTTTTTGAACTAACTATTGTTCTTCATCATATTAAATATATGCGTGATTTAATAAATATTTGGTTGATTTTTAGACATAGAGAAATAATTATACGAATGATTTAAACTGAGCGAATAGTTTTAATGAAAAAAGTTGAACATGCAACTTATTCAAGATGAACAAAAATATGCAAAAAGGTAAAAATACGAGTACAGTATGGTATATGAGTCAGTCCATATAAGTCGCGTCCGGCCACATAGAGATCTTGCTCAACTGAGGATATGTTGTAGAGGAAAGAGTTTTATGAATTTTGACGCAAACCGTTTTAAAAAATACTGAACTCTCGATTTTTTATGCGAAGTTCTGAACGCGACCAGTTCCACCGACGGGAGTCCTAACACAGTCATATCTGAAGAACGTTTCAGCCGATTGACCTGCAGTTTTCTACAGAAAGGGTATGGATATTAGTATGGATGTGTATGTAGAAAGAAGCTAAATAGACACCCACACCCACTGTATGAAAATAAAATATTTTCAGCTAAAATAATGGAATATAGGATCAAGACAAGATAGTCATTTTCTTTACAATTGATATTTATTCGACACAAAGCAGTTGAATCAACATCGAGTATAAACAAGCGATGACAACAGAAATATATTGAAAGCAAATTTAAAAGTGTAGAACATATATTTAAGCAAAAATAACATAGTTAGAGATGAATTGCTGTTCATTTTGTGCTACTTTATGATATTGGTATCACTTGAACTGCCGTATGTTGACGTCGATTGAATGCATGACGTCGAATCAGCTTGACCGCACGCGGAATGACGAGTTGAAGAATAGTGACGAGACCACCAATTAATCCGATGATTGTAGTGACCATATAAAGAACATCAGACTTGACAATGTATGAATACTGACATTCAATAGGATGGCATTGTTCATAATAAGCCGAATAATTAATTTGAGTGTGCCATGATTCAATCATCATCTTTTGCAATATGATATAAATTGGCGTTGTGAGATTGAATTGACTGTTATAAGAAGCATTCAAAGCTTTTGTAATAAAAGGAATAGAATTGAAATAATCATATAGAATCCTTGCACGAAATTCATCAATCCAAGTTTGATTGTACAACGAAGCAAGATTTGATTTGAGAGTTGCTTCGACTATGTAGCAACCGATAAAAAATCCTGGAATTAAATAAATAAGTGTATTATTCGGAGAGAGCGTATAGAGACCGATTGGTTCGATACATGTTGGATCATTATAACATGAGCAAGATGATGTCATATTGTATGTCTTAGGTATTATACCTATGTAATTGCTCCATCCATCAGGTATGCGAAACTCTGTTGACATTGTTGTTTCAAAGCCCGATAGAAGAACATTTGCGTGTGTTGTATCACGAATAATTTGAAGTGAGCTAATGAATTCATTCTCACTTGTAGAAATAAATAGATCAATAAGAGCTTGAGTTTGTTCAACAAGATGATCTTTTGGACTTGTTTGAACAGTAATAAAAGATGTTTGATCGAATTCCAAAAGTCCATCATTGATAGCTGCCAATGATACCTGACAAAATGATGCAATAGTTTGAAAAATAGCATCGCCTACTATACGAAAATCACGATTGTTTAAAGGTCCAACAAATCTAGTATAAAAAATTCCAGTTGACCAACGAGAATCGACAAAACTGCTTTCACATATCTGATGAAATGTCGGTTGAAGATTGAGAAATGTTTCTCTCGGAATGGCAATCTTTTGACACGGACAACTAAGTGTTTGAGAATAAGTTTTATAAAAAAAAGTATGTTGTTCAATTGAAGGATTGCTAATTGTAACAATTTTTGTCACTTGTACTTGAGAAGAAAATACCGTAAGGATAATCAATGACAAGAAAAGAAAGACTAAGAATAATTTAGTAGAAATAATTTGATTTTTAATTTCATATTCATTATTTTCAGCTGGATCATCAGAGGAAAATAAGTTGATTTTACGTAATCGAGTAACAATTTGTTGAAAAGAGAAAGTAGATGAATCGAACGCAGCAGTTGTTTCTCTATGTCCACGATGACGACAGCGAGAGTACAATGCAAATATTCCATGGACAAAACGAGGAATGAAAATCTGCAGAATCTTCATCAAGCCTCCTAAAAGACTAAAGATTATTGTTAGAATAAGCCAAAATGAATTCTGTTGAACTGTAATATATGTGCAATGGTTAGGACGACATTGTTCATAGAAGATACGATGAGATGCCGAAAAATTCCATTGATCGATGAATAATTCATCTGCAATGTCACCAATAAGCGAGTTTGGCTCAAAATGAACAAGATTTTGACTATCGATAGCATTCACAGTAGACTGATTGGACCAGAAAGACATGAGATCGACACATGTTTGATTAAATAGGCAAGTCATTGTGGAAAAACGAATACTTTCCATCATTAAACAGCCATAGAAAAGTCCCGGAACTTCCCACAATTTGAATGTAAAAGTAGAGTTATAGAAATAAGTCGATAAAGGCTGGAAACATTTTGTCGAAACTTGACAAGCACATATGGTGAATGTATTACCAGAAAAAATTACATGGGTAGTATAGGCATATTGCATGTTGAACAATGGATATGTACCAGTATGATAAAGAAAAAAGTTGGTGAATTTAGAACTCATAAGTCCATTATTTCGTGTCATATTTAAAATAGTAGCAAGATTACGTTTAAAAGAACGAGTCATTGATGACTTGAGCGTCTTGTTTAACTTATCCATTTCTGTGACAAATATTTGAGGAGCAAGTGCTTTATTAGCTACAAATAATGATGAATTAAATGCAATGAGACTCAATTGAATGTGATCGTAGGATACTCCACAAAATGAATAAAGAGAAGCAAAGAATAATCGTTTAAGAATACGAAAATCATAGGTATAATAATTTTCATTGTACCAATTGATATCATCATAAAAGTACCATCCTTTCGAAATAAATTCTGACCAACAAAATGGATGAAGATCATATTTAATTTGAATGAACTTTTCATGAGCAATCGCTAATGTTGAACAAGGACAAGAAAAAGAAGGATTAGAATATTGTTCGATTTGCAATTGAATAAATTGTTCAAATGTCGGAGATTTGATTTGATGAGACGTCATAACACGTTCCATGCTATAGTATGTAATTAAAACTATAAATGATATTGCAAGCAGTAAACAATAAAGTCTAGTGCTTATTATTTGTTGTTTGATTTCTGTCTCATTTGGTGCGGATAATGGTTTTGAAAAGTAGTTGAAAGTACGAAGATATTCCATTAAAGAACGACGAACCATATCTATTAAATATGAAGGTTAAAAATTAAATACATAATAAAGCATTTAAGAGTTGTACAATAATATGTACTAATCAATATTTCGATCCTATTGATCTTCCATGAGGAGATATTAAATTTTCAACCTCTAAAAATAGTACTTTTTTCCCAAATGCGATCTTCTACAGATTATAGTATATGAGAAAAGTGAAGGGTAATTCATGCCGATCTGATTTGTCTGATATCATTTGCAACTCTGAATTTTACTCACTAGGTTCATTCACTACTGTTGGTGGCGGTGCGAATCGACGTCGAATAAACTTAACAATACGAGGAATAAGAATACGAAGAATTTTTATCAGTCCACCGACCAAACCGATCAATGTTGTCGCTATGTATATCATATTGAATTTAGCACTGAATGAATAGATACATGATGATACTTGACATTGATGAAAATATTGAACATGTGAAACATTTTTTTCCCATTCTTCTGTCATGGCTTTGGAAAGAAGTTGATCAACAGTCGAAGAAACGTTGAATCTACTCACAATAGATGAATTGAGTGGCAAAATCGGACGAGTAAGTGGAAGTGGGGCTTGAAGGAACTGTTCGATCATTTCAATACATGATGCTTGATAGAAGCATTCTAATGAAGACTGCCGGATAGCTTGTACTAAGTGACAACCGATGAACAAACCTGGTATTCTGGAACGAGGTCGTGGAGAATCACTTTGATTTGTTCGACGATCTTCTATGAGTAATGGATCAGCACACCATCTGGAAGTATCACAATCACATGAGAAATCCCCATATATACCAGGTGCTGTAAAGAAGCCACCATTATATATATTAATTAAAATCTGTAGGTTGCTGAATAAGCCAGATAAAAGTGTATTTGTTTGAGTAGAAAACTGATTGAGGTTGAATAATTCATAATAGCTGTATATTGTTGATGTTTCGAAATCTTGAATTACTGCATCGATTTGTTCTTCAAAGAGGGTTTTAAAGAGAGCCTGAGTGGTGATAAATCGTGTTGATTTAAACATTTCTAGGCTACTCATCAGTATTTCATCCGATAGATGGCAAAATGAAGCCAGAGTTAAAAAGATTAGGCGACCAGTATAACCAAATTCTATTGAAATATATCTACTTTCAACTGAACTAATATGATCTATCCAATTTTTCTGAATGAAATCAGATGAACATAATTGATGAAATCGTGGCTTAAGATCAATGAAAGATTCATGAGAAATACTTGCGTTCTCACATGGACATCGAAGTGTTTGTGGATAATGAAGTGATAGTGATTGAAACTTCTCATATGATGGATTCTTCAGTTTAATAGTCTGTGTAATATTTACTTGAGCCGTATATATAACGATGATAAGAATAGAAACGATAATCGTTAGGATAAAGATACGAGTTGAAATTCGCTCACTTTCTAATTCATATTCATTGTTGGCTGTAAGAGGTGATCCAAAGAAATTAAGAGCTTTGAGACGATCTAACAATGCTTGTAGCATTTTGAGTAGTTTTTATTGCGTTTTGAAAAAAATGAAGAGAAGATAAAAAAACAAGCACTTAACTTTATTTTACACTGTAGGCTACAAATCAACACTCTCGAATATTAACAGTGAGTGAAGCGAAACTCCATTAGTAAATTTAATAATAGAATAAACGTATTTTTTTTTGTAACTTATTTCATACTGTTTGTTAGGATATAAGAGATTGTATGTCGTTTTTCTATTTTCTTTTTCTTCCTTCATTCCGTTCTTCTATGATCTAGTTCCAGTGTACTGGAATTTTCTTCTTCATTCATAGTTTTTTTTTCTCAGTGCATTCATATTCATATATAATCGCGAATTTTTTTTTTGGAATAAAGACAGATCAGGTAGCAAACATCTAACTCTGTCATTCAAAGTGTAGGCATCGAAATCCAAAGATCTGAAATGCGATGTTAGCTTTAATTAAAGAATCTATGGAGACAGTAAAATATTTTATTCTCATTTCTATCTTCCCAGGTCGAGTATTACGATCATCATAAAATTTAAAGACGATTTTTTTGTTTTGTTGGGATATATTTCAATCGATATCATTCCACTAAAACTTTCGATAAAAATATATCCGAAGAAAAACACAATTCTTCTAAAATTTTCTTCCAATTAGCTATTAAATTCTTCGATAGAAATTCTAAACAAAAAAAAAATTATTCTAGAAAAAATATTTTAATTTAGCTTAAGTGTTCTAATGAAAAATATCTTAACAAAAATAATAATTCTAAAAGTTTTTTAATTTACCGATGTAGTGCTTTATTGATATACATCTAAACAAAAATAATTATATGTAAAAAAAAAATTATTTGCACTCACCAAAATTCTGTTCGCTTTACTATAGAAGAAAAAGTTATTTTTTAAGTGTCAATTGATTCATTGAAGCTAACTTTTCAATAGATATGTTCAAAGAAGAAAAGTCTTCTAAATATCTGTTCAATCTCACTAATATATGCTTTAATAGAATTATTCGTAGAGAAACGAAAAGATTTTGTGTATATGATATGTAACTTGTGCTTAAATTCTAATGCTTTCTGAAAAAACTAAAAATTAAACTTTTATTTTCAATATGTAGTTTCAATTGCAGTGATAGAGATAAGCGTGGAGAAAATAATAAGGTGCAGACGATTTTCGTTTTGAGCGCTGCATTTCTGATGAGAACCAAGCTTGATTATGTAACATCATTAACCTTTTTCAACGAATATTGAAATTGTATACTGGATGAATGTGCAGTGTTGAAAATTTTATCATTTAACATTAAGGGGTGTGGGTGTGAGGGCGTAGTTTTTCTGTTCCTCCATACACACATCTGCACACTCACACCCTCTCTGGATTTCTTGAATTCCAATAGTTCTGAGAGTTTCTTGGATTTTGTTTAGTTGTGATTGATAATTGTTTATAAAATGGTATAAGTTCAAGTCTATAAATAGCAAATGTGATAATTAACTATAATAAAAAAAAAGAAGTTCAAATCTTTTTTGCCAATTATTCTCTACCCATTACTTATTCAATTATTTCGACAAATTTCATTACTTTTTCATCATTAAATCGTCGACAGATAACTTGTAATCCGATTGATACATTAGAATACGATTCTATTGATATATAAAGTTTATAATTCTCATTGTCCAATGCATTTCTAGGTTTATAATCAACTTCTACTTGGTCTTTGACAAAATCAACAGTTGTAACAAGAAAAACGACAGCTGGATAATCAGAAAAATTACATAAAGATGTATAATTCCACCATTTAGCTGTGCCATGTTGAGGAGCTGCAGATGATCCAACAGGTGCAAGAAGACAATCGAAAGAAGAATTGAAGAAAACTTCTCGTTCATTCCATATTTGTGCATATAGCTCACGATAATTTTCTCTTTCTGAAATTAATTCCTTCATTTCTATTCAATTTCGTTTCTTCACATTTGGTTGATTAATAATTCAATCTGTTAATGGTAATGGTTGTTCATTTACGTCTGTCATCAAACTTCGCTCTTCTTCACCTCCATTGCAATGATAAAGTGCACTAATCAAATCCCCCAACCTTTCTGATAATCAATTGGTTCCCAATCAATAACTCGAATTCCATATTTTTTTAAGTGTTCGACTGTTTCACGAAGAGCACAAGTAACAGATGGATGAGGATGTACAACGCCATCATCCCACATAACAGCAACTGTCAAATTTTTTGAATTTAAATTAATCGATCTCCAAGGAATAGATACAAGAGATGAATCTCTTAACCATGATTCCATATCGAGTACTGTTTTCATAAATAGATTAATATCTTCTTTTTTTCGAGCAAGTGGACCAATCCATAAACTCCATTATTAGCAGCTGAAGAACGTATACTTCCACCAATATCAGTTCCTATACCCATTGGACTAGCTTTAAGACCAAGAAGAGCATCTTCTCCACCTGTACTTCCACCAGAAGTTAAATTTCGATAAAATTGATTCAAAGTAGTACCATAAACAGGACTACTACATTCTAAATGCATAAGACTTTGTGGTTCAGTAGTGCGAACATAGAAAATAGCACCTGCTTCATAAAGAATCTTCACAACAAGAGCATCATCTTCAGCAATTCTATCGATCCATTTTATCCATTCATGCACTAATCCGTCGTCCTCGCATAGTTACCATATCCGTGAGAGAAATTGGTAAACCATGAAGTAGTCCTACAGGTCCTCCTCTTCTTTTAAATTCTTCATCTAAATATTTAGCTCGATCTAATGCTTCTTTTTTAAGAAACTCTGTAAAACAATTAGTCAATTGATGAGCGATACCAGCTCGCTTAAGATAAGCTTTAATAACTTGTCCAGCTGTTAATTGACCTTGAGCTAGTTTAATAACGAGTTGTGTAGCTGAATAATGTTCAGTAATAGTAATTTCATCATCTGATAAGAGACCACATTGTCATGGAATATTAGTTACATTAAGAACAGACGAATCAGGAAGTAAATGTCCAAGCAAACTATCCTTTGGAATAGATGCATTTCGAAGTTCAAGTATTCGTTGAATAGATGAAGTTGCCATAAATACACTTGATAACACATTCAACGAAGAGAAATAATAAATAAAAAAAGATAAACTATGTGCGGCGAACTTGATAACAAAAATGCTTATGGTTGTTTATATGCTATAACTTATATCTCTCATCTTCGCAGCATGTGTTGATATAGAAGAAAGAATAAAAGTCATGAAAGAGATAATAACTATGAAGACAGAGAACTAGACTTGCACCCAGCCCAAGGCCGTCTAGAAAAGTCGGCTGACTGCAGAGCCCGAAAAATATCGAAATATGCACGAGATGTTTGGCAATATTAGCGATGAATGTTTTAGCGATGAAGCTAAGCGTAAAAAACAAACTTACATTTATATATTAAACATGTTCGAATGTTTTGTGTTTTTTCTCTTTCAAATAATTCAACATGCAATTTAAATTAACATGTGGTCAAATGCCTGAAACTCATGTTGAAGCTTGAAAATTATAAAATATATTGTAAAACTGGTCAAAAAAAGTGAGTCTCGGTAATGGGTGTGAAATTCGCTACACTGTGGGTGTGGGTGCGGATGAAGGGAAGACTTACACTCACACTCACATACCCTCAAGAACGAGTAGAGAAAAAGCCTCTAACAATTCCTGCATGTCTACTTTTCCTTTCTTGTTTAAAAGAGCAGTGTCCGAATTAGCAATTTTGAGAATTCACCATAGAATTCGGCTTGCTGCGAATTCGCAGTTTTCGACAAATTCACAAATTTGCCATATTAGCCCGAATTCGGACTAATCTCAAAGTCTCCATAGAAATATTTTCATGGTCACTCTATGTCTATGACAACGAATGTATTCACTCTACATACATTGACTATGGGTGAAACTGAATACATTGTGTGTTACTAATTTCAGTGAATCTTAAAATTAAATGCATTTAAATCGATGAATCGTTAAATGTAATTCACTCCATGTAAAAATGAAATTCATATAAATCAATTTATTCTTGCATGGATTTAAGCTGATGTCAGTGTTAAATGCATCTAAATGGCATTCATAGCATTTTTTGACTTCCTGGGTAGGGGCTGCAAACAGCTGTATGAATTTCTCAAACGCATTATTAGAACAGTTCAATGTACTCTTTGTTAAATGTACGATCACAGAGCCCTACACGGGTCAGGTCAGATCTCGGATTGGGAAGGGCTAAGCCGGCCCAATAAAAAACAAAATGTTTGATCTCGGTTCACATCAGAACAGTAAAACTCTAATCTATGTCAGACAATGTACAATCATGATGGAGGATAGAATAAAGCAGCTGTGTTTGTTTCTCATATGCATCATTAGAACAAATCGGGGTTGGTTTTTTTCAAACGATACGGTCATGATTAAGGATCGAATGAGTCAATGGTATTGAGTATTATAAAAATAGGGAAGGACTAAGAAAGAAAACGAGAAGTTTACTCATCCATTCTGGTGTTGTGTTTCCTTGTGGATTCATTAATATGATAATTTTACCTTTTCCTTCCGTTTTATAACAATAAGCTAATTTAAGCGTTATTTTTTTCTATAAAATACAAAATTTTGTCATTAACAAGTCTACATAGATTAGACAGAAAAATCATTAATTTTTTTCCTCAATCAAATATACAAAATAACTCCTTTTATAGGTTTAAGTAAAACTTTTTATGTTAAAAGAAGACACATTATCTGATGTCGAGCTTAATAGAGAAAAGCTATCAGAATAATAGTGAACAGCAATCGTATTTTTGCTCAGATCTATAAATAAATGAAAGAATAGCCTGTAATAGTTTTCAGAAGAAGTCTATTTCATTTTAAAGTTAAAAACAACTAATTATCTCAAAGTTGTTATATAATTAATAGTAGTTTATTTTCCTTGTTTGATCCATTTTTCATTAAATCTACGATATTTTATTGTTTCTCTATCATATGTATGAACTAAATGAATATCATTATCATCACTTCCTTTCCAAAAACTTTGAATTAATGATGGATATGAATATTCTCCAACATATGTATCATTATCATCATCATGAATTTGAATATCTCTGTGATATGGCCATGTTATTCCATTATCATAAGAAAGTGCAACTGTTAAAGGTGATCTTGGTTGTTGTGTACCGTTATGATTATCAAATGACATAATTACAGCTCCACTCTTTAATGTATATGCTACAATTGCTGCATCATTATTTGGTAAAGATGTTGGTTTTGGAATTGTCCAAGTTAATCCATCATCATCACTATCAGCATAGTAAATCCATACAGCCCTTTTATCACGAAAAAAAGCTCGTAATTTTGAAGTGTTATTCAAACGAATGACTGTTGATTGAATAAGATAAACACTTTGGTTTATATCTGTACGAGTCACTATTGACATTTCTAAAGACAATCGAAGTATAAATGAATACGGAGCTGATGTAGAATTATAGCATGGAAAAATGAGTTCATTGCCGTTAAATGAAGGAATAATGCGATGACGATCATATGTACCTGGTAAGGTATAGAAAGGTTCTGGAGTTGACCACGTTGCACCTTAACAAATCAAAAGTAATTTATCATATAAATACATTCATCGAATAGATTTACCTCGATCTTTACTTTGAACATGCCATATTTGAGAAGTATTTTCACTTCCATGAGCTACTTGTGATGTATGGTATAAATGTAATATTTGTGTTTCATTATCCCAAAAAAGAACTGGATTTTGATTTGAATAATTAACACGTTGACTAACAACAACACCCGGAGTAAATTGTTGTGATCCAAATTCTAAAAGTGATACTGCAATTGAACAATTAGGTTCTTTTTCACCACCTGTAAACCAAGCAACAGCTAAAGTACCACTTGGTGTCAGTTGTTCAATAAATGATGCATGACCTCCTACTCTTGGTGAAGATAAAAATGCATAAGAACTTCCATCACTTGATCGATGAATGATTCCATCAAAGGGAATAATTGCATTTAATTTGGTCAATTGAATGAAAAGTAAAAGTATTACTAAGAACATTTTTTTT